CCCGTTTTCGTGACCTTTGACCCCGAGTAACTTTTTTCCAGGAACCGGATCGATGAGGACTTACTAGATTTCATTTATGATGGTGTTTTGAACAATCCTACCAATTTTCAGCTGGGTGGGAATTATTGTAACTTCACTCCTGGTTTTGGTCTAATTTGCCCGGACTATAACAATTTGTAGTCATGGGCGTCGCTACGTAGGGGCCAGCCAGTGGCCACCCAACTGAAGTTCGGTTGCCATATGCCCAACTCGGCTCAGCTCGATTTTCCGGTCACATACATAAGTACACATTTTCATGAGTCTATCTCTTCTTATTCTTGTACTTACAAATATCGGACCAAAGTTGTAATACCAATTCATGCTCATGAAAGGTATAGATTTCAGATTTCCAATCGGTGAAGTAGGTAACAAAATATAAATTTAAACATTTTCTTAACTTATCGGATCAATTTTCAGCTGGGTGGGAATTATTGTAACCTCGAATGTCTAAATTGACCAGACTATTAGTAATTTTCATTCGAGTTTGAGTAATTCCTTTCGCCATTTGACTTTTAGTAACTTTACGAAAGCTTAACTTATTTTAAGTATTTTATTCATTCTAGTGCAGTTTTAACACAATTTTCTTGCTAAAAAACTTTTTTTACATTATTTTATTTTATACCTTTGATTGTACATGTTAAATAAAAGCTTGTTTTTAAAAAATATTTTTTGCATTATTTTATTACAAGCTTTTATTTAACTTGGTCATCCCGCGGAAATTTCCAAACGATTTTAAACTAGCTTCCCGACAAGGTAGAAATTTTTGAGCATAATTCCAATCACGATTACAATGCAATCTAAAATATAAATGAATTCCCTAGATGGTCCAGGGTTTTGATACAAAGACGGTCAAAACATAGTAACGGACCTAATTTGCCAAAGAACGTAAAACCGCTATAAAATTGTTAAAGCTGCCGGCGGTAGTAGATAACTATAGTTGCAGCCGCTAGTAAGAAAAATACCGGAAATTAGCTTCAACAATGTTTAAATTGCCAAACTGTTAAGTTTTAGGCAGGGTTCGGAAATATACATATATGAACGTTCGCGTGCATACATTTATGATATTATACGCGAACGTGAACGTATCAAATATTCTCTATTGATTCTCCTTCGCGAACGAAAAGCATAAGACAAGTCCAGATCGTTCGCAATCGCGAATGTTAGGTAGAAAAAATGTTCGCTTTTGTTCGTCCGCGTATGTATTGGTAGACCAAACAGCCTGCATTCATATACATATGTAGCTATTAGTGTCATCGATGTCTTCGCGAACGTTCACTGCTGTCGTTCTCGTTCATAAGTGAATGTAAATGCTGCGTCAAACATTCGCGGAAAGTTGGTGTGGCTATCACACATAGTTGCCAACTTGGTGCTTAAAGCACTACATTTAGTGCTTTTTGAAAATTAAAACGCCAAAAAAAATTACTTAGTGCCTAGTGCTTTTTTGTAACTAATATTACTCCGAGATAGTTAAAACCTGAAATAATTTGAAATATTATAAGCTGCGGTGTCTCATAAAGATGCGGAATTTACAAGAATATACAAAATTTACATGCACTAAAATACAACCATGATTGATAAAAAGCTGAAGTTGCAAACCCACCTTGTTGAATTCTAGTCGCGTTGAAAATGCTAGT